GAAGGATACTGTTTTCATATCCATTTTGTTAGCCTGTGTCCTTTTGATATTAAGAGATATCAATGATCAATGATTGTTAATTCTTATTGTTTTGGTGGTGGTGGTGGTGGTGGTAGTGTGAGTGTGTGTGTGTTTCTCTTCTTTTGATTTTGCTTGTTTGAGATTATTTTCTGTGTTTTTATGGATGTAGTTAACCTCCTTGGGTTGGAGTTTTCTTTCTAGTAACTTTTGTGGTGCTGAATTTGTAGATAGAAATTATTTTAACTTGACTTTACAATGGAATATCTTGTTTTATCCACCTATGGTGATTGAAAGTTTTGTTGGGTATAGTAGCCTGGACTGGCATCTGTGGTCTCTTAGAGTCTGCAGGACATCTATCCAAGTCCTTCTGGTTTTTAGAGTCTCTATTGAGAAGTCAGGTATAGTTCTAATAGGTCTGCCTTTATATGTTACCTACTCTTTTTACCCTTGCAGCTTTTAATAATCTTTCTTTGTTCTGTATGTTTAGTTTAGTGTTTTGATTATAATGTGGCAAGAGTACTTTCTCTTCTGGTCCAACATATTTGGTGTTCTGTATACTTCTTGTACTTTTATAGGCACCTCCTTCTTTAGTTTAGGAAAGTTTTCTTCTATGATTTTGTTGAAAATATTTCTGGGCCTTTGAACTAAGATTCATCTCTTTCTTCTATTCCTATTATTCTTAAGTTTGGCTTTTTCATAGTGTCCCAGATTTCCTGAATATTTTGTGTCAGGATTTTTGTTTGTTTGTTTTTTTGAGACAGGGTTTCTCTGTGTAGCCTTGGCTGTTCTGGAACTCACTCTTGCTGTGGAGACCTGGCTGGTCATGAACTCACAGAGATCCACCTGTCTCTGCCTCCCAAGTGCTGGGATTAAAGGTGTATGCCACTATCACCCAGCAAGAACTTTTTTAACATAATATTTTTATTGATTATTTGGAAATTTCACATAATGCACCATGATCATATTCACTTCCCAGTCCTCCCAGGGCCTAACCCTCACCCTTGTAACCCCTCAAAAAACAAAAGAAGGGGAAGAAGAAGATGAAGATACCATGTCCAATTTGTGTTGTCCATATACTCACTAGAGCATGGTTAATCTCCCAGTGGGCAGCGCCTTGCAGAGAACGGAATTCTTCCCCATGCATACCCACACCAGAAGCCATCTGCTGTGGGATGTTCTGTATGTGCTGTGGGAGCCCATTCTTGGGTTCCTCATGGCTTTACCCAGCAGGTCCGCATAGAGGATGATTAGGACCACGGTCCTGAGTGCAGGTGTCTGAGATGATCTGCACTTGGCTGTGCTGTGGGATGGTCTGTATGTCAAGTTGCTCTGATTGGTCAATAAATAAAATACTGATTGGGCTGTGGCTAGGCAGGAAGTATAGGCGGGACTTACAGAGAGGAGAAATAAAAGAACAGGAAGGCAGAAGGCGTCACTGCCAGCCACCACCCTGACAAGCAGCATGAAAAGATGTGGTAAGTCATGAGCCGCATGGCAGGGTATAGATTTGTGGAAATGGATTAAACTATAAGAACAGTTAGCAAGAAGCCTGCCACGGCCATACAGTTTCTAAGCAATATAAGTCTCTGTGTTTATTTGGTTGGGTCTGAGCGGCTGTGGGACTGGCGGGTGACAAAGATTTGTCCTGACTGTGGGCAAGGCAGGGAAACTCTAGCTACAGCCATCAACTGTGGAGAGTGACACTTTAGCATCCCTATCAAAAATTTTAAGAGTTTTCTTCAATGGCTTCCTGAATAGACTGTTTCTATGTCTCTCATTCTCTACTGTGAGTCTGAAGTCATCAATATCTCTGCAAAAGAAGCTTCTTTGCCCTTTTTAGTCATTGGTAGCATGGATCACAGATTTCCATTGCCCTCAATCGCAGCTGGGCCACAGACATCAACATAGTCTTAGGTGGCAGGTCATGTCACACACATCAACATGGCCTCTGGCTACAGGATGGGACATGGACATCAACATGGCTCTCAGTGGCAGCATGGATCATGGATGTCAACATGGATTCAGGTGGCAGCACACACTAAGGACATTCCTGTGGCCTTCAGTGGTAATAGAGACCATTGACATTAACATGGCCCTTGGCTGCTGCATGGGCCACTGACATCAATATGGCCTCTGGCCACAACAGGGCTGTGAACCCCAACATGGCCCTCAGTGGCATCAAGGGCCACGGATATCCACTTTTTCTTTGGTGGTAACTCTGGCCGTGGACATCCACATGGCCCCAAGCTGAAGCCAGACCATAGAGACCAACATTGCCCTCTGTGGCACATGACCACAGATACCAACATGGCTTCAGGAAGCAGCATGGGCTATGCATATCAACATCGTCTCTGGTGGCAACATGGCCATGGACGTCAATATGGCCCCTGGCTGTAGCCGGGTCAGTGTTAGGAAATTTTTAGATTTAACATTTCCTTTGACTTGTGTATCTATTTCTTCTATTATATCTTCAATGCCTGAGATTCTATCCTGTATTCTGTTGGAGAAGCTTGCCTCTGTAGTTCCTGTTCACTTACCTAGATTTTTCATTTCCAGAATTCCCTCAATTTATGTTTTCTTTTATTTTTCGATATACACAGGGTTTCTCTGTGTAGCTTTGGAGACTGTCCTGGAACTCACTCTGTAGCCCAGGCTGGCCTCGAACTCACAGAGATCCACCTGGCTCTGCCTCCCAAGTGCTGGGATTAAAGGTGTGCACCACCACTGCCTGGTCAATTTGTGTTTTCTTATTGCTTCTATTTCCATTTTCAGGTCTTGAACAGTTTTATTCATTTCTTTCAACTGTTTGTTTTTTCTTGGCTTTCCTGAGGGGATTTCTTCATTTCCTCCAATTTTTTATTCATCCTCTCCTCAATTTCTTTAAGAGATTAATTTCATTTTTAAGAAGCTCTATCATCTTCACAAACTTGGTTTTACGATCTTTTTCTTGTGCTTCAGCTGTATCTGAATATTCAGGACTCAGCTGTGGCAGGACAGCTGGTCTCTGGTGGTGACATATTGTCCTGGCTGTTGTATTCTTACACTGGCATCCAGGCATCTGGGCTTGGGGTGATTATAGACCTAGGTGCTGATTTCTGAGTTTGTCTTGGTTGGGTGGGTGTTTTGTTTCTTGGTTTCTGTTTCTTCTCTGGTCTTCTGGCTGGCGTGGCCTCTAGTTGAACAGGGGTCTCTGCCTGAGTTTGGGAGCTGGGACATGAGGAGGAGGGGTGGAGGGATTTGGGATAGTATTAGGGGGCACCAAGAGATTAGAGGGTCCATAGTGGGCGGCCTACCTGGACTTCTGGCAGCCAGAGTGAAGGGATTTATTCATTTCCTCTTTAAGGACCTCTATCATCTTCGTATGTTGGTTTTAAGGTGTTTTCTTTTTTTTTTTTTTTTTTTTTTGGTTTTTCGAGACAGGGTTTCTCTGTGTAGCTTTGCGCCTTTTCCTGGAGCTCACTTGGTAGCCCAGGCTGGCCTCGAACTCACAGAGATCCGCCTGGCTCTGCCTCCCGAGTGCTGGGATTAAAGGCGTGCGCCACCAACGCCCGGCTTAAGGTGTTTTCTTAAGCTTCAGCTATGTCTGAATATTCAGGACCTGCTGTGGTAGAATAGCTGGGCTCTGTTGGTGACATATTGTCCTGGCTGCACTTATGGTGGCATCTAGGCATCTGGGTTTGGGATGCTTTAGGTCTAGGTGCTGATTTCTGGGTTTGTCTTGGATGGGTGGGAGTTTTGTTCCTTGCTTTCTGTTTCCTCTCTGGACTTTCAGAGTGTGTGGCTGAGTGTTGTTTCCCTTGTCTGCCTGGCTGCTGTGGTGGCTTGAATGAAAATCGCCCCTGTAGGCTCATAGGGAGTGGCACTATTAGGAGGTGCGGCCTTGCTGTACAAGTGGCCTTGTTGGAGGAAGTGTGTCACTGGGCATGGGCTTTGAGGTTTCAGGTGCTCAAGCCAGGCCCAATGCGGTTCTCTGTTCCTGCTGCCTGCTGATCCAGATGTAGAACTCTGGGCCTCTTCTCCAGCACCATGTCTGACTGCATGCCACTATGCTACCTGTGTGATGGCAATGGACCAAACCTCTGAACTGTAAGCCAGCCCCAATGAAATGTTTTCCTTTATAAGAGTTGCTGTGGTCAAGGTGTCTCTTCACAGCTGGTGTGCTCATTTGAGCATCACAGTAGAGCTAACCCAATTGGTGGAGGAGTGGGTGAGCCAGCCCTGATGTTGTGAGCATAGGAGGGCTGTCCCCATTACTCATCTGTTATGTGGTGGCATGGGGGGGGGAGGAGATGCCCATCAGTGCCTGAGGCAGGTGGAAGAGCTGGCCCTGAGGTCATAAGTGTGGGAGACCTGTCCCTGTCTCTCATCAGCTGTAGCACTCAGAAGAGTGGCCTCTACACCTTGCCTGGGTAACACAGTAGAGCTGGCCCTGACGGTGTAGGTGTGGGAGAGCTGGTCCTGAGGATGCAAAAGCACAACTGGCCCCGCCCCTTGCTCATCACTGCAAGGGATGAACTACCCAGGGCAATGCTGGAGAGCTCCCCCTGGTGGCGACAGGGGAGAGCTGACTAGCCCTGCAACTACCCAGGCCCAGAACCAGGGTTATGTGTTGGCCCATCCCAACATCCACCTCATCTGTGATCTGCTGGAACATGGGGGTGGGTGGGTCAGTCCTGCGGACCCAGGGCTGCAGGATCTCCATGACACAAGGCAGCGATGGGATGTCCAGGAAGAGTCCCAGTGAGGGCCCAGCATCGATGATGTAGCAGAGACCAGAGGCCTCAAACCAGACCAATGATATTTTGTGACGAATGTCTGCATGTAAAAATATATGGACAAAGGGGTTTACTACGTGACTCACTGTGTTACAGTGCAGCTTCTATGATGAGGTTTCCCCCTTCTTCCTCCCCTCTTTTTTCTCTTAAATTTTATTTTATTTTGGGGTGGGAGAGGGAGATGGGTAGAATCAGGAGGCATGATGTGAAAGACGCAAAGAATAAATAGAAAAGTTTAAAAACAAAGTCAGCTGGTATGTTCACAGGGAACGCTTGCTGGTGTTGGAGGCTGAGGGGAGACCATGGGGAGATGGTCTGAGGGATCGACAGGAGGCGTGGACAGGGGCAGGGGAGGCTGCCCGGGGGTTCTATTGCAATGCTAGAAGCATCCCTGAGAATTGTGAAGCAACCCTGAGAATTGTGTCTGGCGTAAAAGACAGGGTGGGGGAAGATCTGGGGGCAGCCTGCCGGATCTTCAGGCAGGCATCTGCCTTCACGTCTGAAATTGTTTCTTTCAACTGTTTGTTGGCATTTTCACAGACTTCACTGAGAGGTTTACGAATCTCTTCTTTGAAGTCCTTTACCATATTCCTAATTGTTCTTTTGAAGTCCTTGTCTGTACTTGTCTGTACTTGAGCCATGCTGTGTTCCTCAGGGTCTAGTGTAGGAAAGTCACTGGGTTCTGATGGAGTCATAATCGCTTTGGCTTTTCGTGTTTTGTGCAGGGGTCTAGGCATCTTACCATGCTCGAGGTGTTCCTTCATGTTGGTATCTGATCTTGTCTCTTCTGGGGGGTGTTCTAGTCTTTGGCTGCTGTCGCCTCCCCTGGATTTTAGGCACCTGTGGTGGTGGCTCTGGGGTCCCTGGTGGAGAGTGCTTCTGCACATCAGTGGGTGGCAGAAAGGAACGGAGATGCCTAGGAGGAAATGCTGAGGGACCCTGGGAAAGAGCTAGGGTGTTCACACCCAAAGGTGGAGTCCCCGGAACGGTAGTGTGGAAAGAGGAGCCCCTGCAAGCGGGCTGCTCCAGAACCGAGAGTGGGCCAGGAGACAGCATAAGGGAGGACAAGAAGGATGGTGGCCACGTCCCCCCGAGTCCCAGCCTAGTATGGTCCCTTGTAGAAAGCGTTTCTGGGAATTTGGAGCTGACACAAAGGACTGGACATGGACTGGAGGGCTGAGCTGGTAGGAGGCAAGAGCTAATCTGGGTCTGCACCAGGAGGCGGAGTCACAAGGTAAGACCCCGAGCTGGAGCTGGGGGGCTGGGAAAAGTGCTCACCTCCAGGTTCAACAACCTGAGTTTGATTCCTGGGACCCACATGAAGAAAGGAGAGAAATGATGCCCACAATTTGTCCTCTGACCTCTCTATGCTCACAAGCATGTGTGTCCACACACAGATACATAAATAAATGTAAATACCTTTTATAGATTTGTTTATGTGTATGGTTGTTTTGCCTGCACATGTCTGTGTACCACATGTGTGCAATGCCTGCAGAAGCCAGAAGAGGGCAATATGTAGCTTTGGAATTGGAGTTATAGATGGTTGTGAGCCACTCTGCAGGTGCTGGGATTTGAACTCTGGTCTTTTGGAAGAACAACAGCCAGTGCTCTTAATGGCTGAGCCACATCTCCAACCCCACAAAAATATTTCTGGAAAGGCATGGCAAGAGGTCTTGCACATCTCTGGGAGCTTCTGGACTCTGAGCTGTTTTTTTTTGTTTTTTGGTTTTTGGTTTTTTTTGGACTTAGCACCTGCCTCTAAGCTGTACTCTCAGCTCTCGCCTCAAAGAAATCTAGACCAGCTGCTTCTCCAAAGCTGTGAGTTGGCCTCCCTCCACTTTCAGACCAGAGAAGAAGGTCAGGGCAAGAAGCATCTAAGTATACTGATGAAGCACATGAGGAAACAGACCTAATGAACAAGCCAGTGGGGAAAATTCGAAAGCAGAAAGATAACAAGTGCCACAAACCATGTTTTCAGAAGATGTCAGGATTGATTGCTGGTGTTTAGCAGTTTCCTCCTAGAATGAAACATTCAACCCTGCAGAAAAGCTCATGATACAGGAAGTAAACAACTCAAAATATCTTCAGGATGTCCCTGAAACTGACCAGATTCACTAGACTCTCCCTCTGCAAGTGTATGTGAATGTGTGTGTGTGAGTGAATAAATGAATGCATGGATGGATAGATGAGTGAATGAATGAACCACTGATAAGTGCACCTCTCAGACAAGCCAAGCTACAAGGAAGACTCTCAGACAAGTCCAGCTGCCTGGAAGAAGCAGAGAGCCACTGAGCCACCTGGAAAGGACGCTCTCCAACCTGCTGAGCTGCCCGCAGGCTGTGCAACGCACTCCGGTCTCCTGGCCTTTGTGACGCCCATGCTGTGGTGGGCTTTGGTGATGCAGCTGTCTTTGAGTCATTTCCACACCTGTAAGGAACCCCTCATTCATATTCCTTTAAGTAACCCTCCAAAAACTCTTTGATTCACCAAATTAGTTCACTCCATTGGTTCACCACACTTTGGTGGTGTCCATACTTTGTTTGGTCTGAGGTGGAGCCCTTTTCTGGGGTGAGTAGATGTATGTGCGGTGCATCGGCACAGGAAAAGCCTGTCCCAGATTTTAAGGTAGCAACACCTGCCAGCTACCCAGGTATATTTGTTTATTTATTTTATGTGTATGTGTTCCTCTCCATGCAGCGGTCAGAGGAGTCAAGCTTGTGTAGTGAGTGCCTTTACCACTTGAACTATCTTGCTGGCTCCTAATTTTTTGTTCCGTTTTTAACATACTTAATTTAAAAAGTTTATTATCTGATTGTGTGTGTGTGTGTGTGTGTGTGTGTGTGTGTGTGTGTGTGTGCAAAGGCGTGCGCCTGTGTATAGTCCATAAGGCAGCTTTGTTCTTGGCTCTCTCCTGCCACCTCGTGGTCCAACAAAAACCGCATGGACCCTACACCACTACGGACCTCTAGGAAAAAAAAACTTTCTGATCTTTTTAGTTTGCAGGAAGGCGAAAGGGTGGAGGCTCCTGTGTAGTAGTGCATAGAATCCAAGCTCAATCCTCGGTACGCTGGGTTCAGACATTACAAGCCGTGTATGCAACGGGAACAGCATTTGCGAACACGAATCCCCCTAACCTCCACCCCACGCCCAGATAGGGTCTTACTATGTAGTCCGGATGACCTGGATCTTGCTGTGTAAACCAAGCTGGCTTTGAACTCACAGAAATCCTCCTGCCTCTGCCCCCTGAGTGCTGAGATTAGGGGTGTATGCCCCCACGTCTGGATACGTTCTCTCTTTAAACTGCATCTTACACTTTTTGCGTGAATACACGCCGGAGTGCCACGGTGCGTGTGTGGAGGTCAGAGGACAGTGTGAGAAAATAGGTTCTCCATCATGTGGGTTCCCTGGGACCGAATTCAGGTAATCAGGCTTGGCAGCAAGCGTCTACACTCGCTAAGCCATCACAGCGGTCCAAACTATTATTTTGACATTTCAAATTCATATGTAAAACAACCAATTAGACTCTTTTCCCTCCGCTCCAGAGGCTCAAGTCAGTTGGCAGCTGAGGCCAAGAGCGGTTCAGGCTCCCGGTTTATCCATTAGAAGTAGGGAAGGCTTCTGAGTGTGGAAAGACGCCACTGTCCGCTCTGGAAAGCTGTGAATAAACTGTGGCAAACATGCTCCTATCCTACCTCCAGCAGGACGGACGTACAGGACACCCAGCCAGAGCCGGCGGGGCGCCCCAGGACCCCATCTATCAAGCTCCTCTCCGCCGTGCTGGCTTTACCCGTCACTCAAGACCGCGGGGGCGGAGCCTGGGGGCGGAGCGGAGGCGTGGCGCGCTGTCCAATGAGCAGGCGCGGGTGGTTCGCTCGCGGGATCTGGGCTTCTCGCCCCGCCCCCTGCAGGGATTTGACTGCCCCGCCTCCGCGGACCGGCGACCGTCACGGCTGGGCGCCACCGGGACCGGGGACCCTGCAGGCCCCGAATGGTGAGTTCAGGGTCTGGAGGTCCCGAGATACGGGCCGAGGAGCTGTTGGGACCGGTAGGGGGCGGGGCGTCGGCCGCCTCGCGCCACCTAGGCGTCTGCGCCGGTTCCGCTCGGCCGGCTGGCTCGCTTTCGGCTCGGCCGGGTTCGGCTTGTCCGGCTCCGTTCGGCTGTGTCCGGCTCCGTTCGGCTCTGTCCGCCCGGCCATCGCTCCCCGCGGGACCTTGGTACCCCTTCGCGTGCCCGCGGGCCCAGGGCTGGCGCTGCCCGTGCAGCGACGGCGGGTTCCGGTGCGGGTCCGCAGCCGGCCCTCGGCGTGTGGGACGCATCCACTCAGAGGCTGCGGTCTGTTCGTCTGATGTGAATCTAGGTTTGTAGGTCCCGTTCCACTTCCCAGTTCACAAAAACGTGATCGTCCACCTGCCCTTCATCCTGCTTTTCAAACGGCTTACTTCCCGAAGTAGTGGATGACACTTTGTGGTGTTTTGAAGTGCCGTTCTTCTGGTGTGAACCACCACAGGCAGCTTTGGGAGACACTTTTTTTTTTTTTTTTTTTTTGGTTTTTCGAGACAGGGTTTCTCTGTGTATCCCTGGCTATCCTGGATCTCCCTTTGTAGACCAGGCTGGCCTCGAACTCACAAAGATCCACCTGCCTCTGCCTCCCGAGGGAAGACACTCTTTTAAAAGATTTGTTTTCTAGTCGGTCGTGGTGGCTTGGGGATGCTGATGGAGGAGGACCTTGTAGGTTCCAGCAATCCTCCTGTCTCTAACCTGCTCAGCGCTGAAGTTGGAGTCTGCTTCTCTGTACCCATTTCTTTCCTCTCCCCTCCCTTCATCTTGTTACCCAGTTGCACTTTTCTCATACAGTTAAGAATCCTTTACGGGGGACACGTGTGTTGTCTGCGGTCGCTGCTAACTGCTGCATGTGACAGTGGATCGGATCAGAACCAGGCTGAAGAGCCCGCGCCTCCGGCCTGGGGCCGCAGGGCTTCTTGTGACCTCGGGAAGCATGGCCGCGTGCCTGGATGAATGAGGAGTTGGGACGAAGGGAAGATCAGACGGGAGCGGACTAGCACAGGAGCAGAACTTTTCAAAGAACCGAGTTTTTGACACTGTCTACCTTCTAAGGGAGGAGGATGTTCCCGTCTCTGCCCACCCTGACTGTCCTCATCCCGCTAGTCTCACTGGCAGGCCTGTTCTACTCGGCCTCTGTGGAGGAAGGCTTCCCCCAGGGCTGCACCAGCGCCAGCAGCCTGTGTTTCTACAGCCTGCTCCTGCCGGTCACCGTGCCGGTGTACGTCTTCTTCCACCTGTGGACCTGGATGGGGCTGAAGCTCTTCAGACATAATTAGTGCAGCGTGGGCCCCTCTCGTGGGGACCTGCGTGATGAGTCGCCCTGGCGGCGGGAGCGTCCTGGTCGTTGGGTTCTGCCCTCTGGAGTTGCAGATTCTGATGTCAGTGCGGTGGCAGAATAACACGTTCATTAAAATGTCTTGAGGGAGGAACACCACCAGTCTATCTGAAGACTGTTTCTTTTCTTTTCAAGACTGAGTTTTAATTACGTGTCTGGGTGTGGATATGTGCACGTGAGAGTGGGTGGCCGAAGAGGCCACAAGAGGGTTGGATCCCCTGGAGCTGGCGGTTCGGGCTGTTGTGTGCTGCCTGCCATGGGTGCTGAGAGCTGTATGGGTCCTCTGCGACCGTAGCAAGTTAAGTAACTGCTCTTCACCCCTGAGCCATCTCCCAGCCGCCTATTTCCTTTCTCTTCTTTTTTAGTTCAGGCTAACCTCGAACCTTGGGGAGGATGACCTTGACCTTTACCCTCCTGCCTCCACCTGAGGGCTCAAATGTGAGGCAGTTACTACCACATCCTGTTATGTGGTGCTGGGGAAGAAACCCTGGGCTTCATGCTTGCTAAGCCAGCACTCTGTCAGCTACCCAGCCCCAGCCCTAAAGACTATTTTTAAAATCCCATTCATTTAAATATTAGTCGTTTGGAAGCTGGGCATGGTGGCACATACCTTTAATCTCAGCACTTGGGAGGCAGAGACGGGGGCGGGGGGGGGGGGGGGAATCTCCTTGAATTCGAGGCAGCCTGATCTACACAAGTGGGTACCAGGCCAGCCAAGGCTGCATAGTGAGACTGTCTCAAATAATAATTTGGAATTTTGTTTCAGCCTCGAGGTCAGTGGTGAAGTCTTATGTTAGGGACGACTCCACCGAGAGGCCCTGGATGGAGTCGTTGTAGAGAAACTAATTAGAACTAGTGTGATAGATAAAACTGTCAACATCTGGAAGCTGGAAATATCAAAATGAGTTTGTGGCTGGGCAGATGGCTCAACAGTTTCTTACACCAGGTGCTTTTGAAAAGGACCCCGTTCAGTTCCCAGCACCCACGTTGGTGGCTCACAACGGACTCCCTCTTCTGGACTCTGGGCACCTGCACACATGTGGCATATATTCACACACACACACACACACACACACACACACAAATAAAACAAAACAAAACATTTTTTAAAGAGGAAAACAAATCTTGACTTTATAAAGTTACCTTTATTTTTTTTGGTATCAGGTGTTACCAGGTGTTGAAGGTCATGGTCAAGGTCAGGGTCAGTGTTTCCCGGTTCTAGGATTCTTATTCAAGGAATTGAAATAAAAGTCCCTCATACAGATTTGCAGAGTTGAAAGGAAACTTTATATAGAGCGAGGCTATAGAACAGGAATGCAGATGTATGAGCCTATGGGGCTGTTCCTATTCAAACCACCACACCTGTTCTCCCAGCCTACATTCCTCTGCCCTCCTTACCTCCTGTACCTGCAGCTTCTGGGGACCTGCCTCTGCAGGCACTGTGCACAAGTTTGCAACATACACACCTAAAAATAAACACAAAGTCTTGCAAAAAAGGAAACAAGTTCTTGTGGGCTGAAAGTGGGTCTACCCTTGCTTGAAGGCAAGTTCAGAGATGGGGTGGGGAAGTTGCCGGCTTGACCTGAACTCACTTGTTCCCAGTTCCTGAAGCCTCAGAGAGGTAGAGGCTTGGCTCCATTGGCTACAGAATCTGGAATTCCTTGAGTACATTGGCCCTGTTTGAAGAACAGTGGGGCACCTCCCTACCACAGGAGAGGTGAGGATGGCCGACCATGAGTGGTTGTGGGCCAGTGACTTGTGTGTAAAACACCAGTGTGTGTGCGTGTGTGAGTGTGCGCGCGCGCGCGCGCGCGCGTGTGTGTGTGTGTGTGTGTGTGTGTGTGTGTGTGTGTGTGTGTTGTGAGCCATGACTTTGGTAAGAAACACTGTAGCAAATAAACTCTGTAAACATCCTTGGCCCCTTGGGGCTAACATTCTGCAATTTTTTATCCAATTTGATGTTACCTAGCCAGGTTCTATTTGTCCATTTGAAATGAGTTTTGTAAAGACCAGAGATGGTCAGATTTGAGATGGGAGATCCAAGTCTTCATTGGCCTCCCCAGGGGTAGCACTTAGAGGTACTTATTGTTATATATTGCGTGCATGTGAGCATGCACACACGGGACCCTAACTGGCCCAGCCAGGGTATCCCACGCATGCAGGGGAACACGGCAGGCAGATGCATTGGTGGGCGGCGGCATTCGGTGACATGCAGAACAGTCACTCACACCCAGGCGCTGCATCCACGTGGAGAGAGTTTATTATAATAGAGAGATGAAGAGAAAGATAGGAAAGAGGGGGATAGGAAGAAAGAGAAAGGAGGGGAGGTGTGCACACCTTGTGGGAATGGAGAGGGAGAGAGCGCAGAGAGAGAGGAAGGGGAGGGGGTTTTCCTTAAATGAGAGAGGCTTTTGCATCAGGACACAGGGGAGGGTCAGAATATTAACACTGGTTTACAAGGGGCAGGTCAGACTACTAACACATGGGATGCAGAAACAAGAGTGAGGTGAGAAGGTATCTGAGGTCCAACTACTCAGAAACATGATGATGGTGTGAACAAAGGTGGGATTTTATGTTTCTGATCTCAAAAGTTTGGCTCTCAGGCCCAGTGAGATGGCTCTGATGACCCGAGTTAATTCCTGGGAACCCATGGTGGAGCAGAGAACTGACTCCTTAGAGTTGTCCTCTGGAGGTTGGAGAGACGGCTCAGCTGGAACACTGGATGCTCTTCAGCACCGACATAGCAGTTCACAACCACCTGTAACTGGCCCCCAGATGATCCAGTGCCCTCTTCTGGCCTCCACCAGGCATGCATACGGTGCAGACATACACGCAGGCAAAATACCCATATACATTTATAAAAAAAAAAAAGTATGTCACACTCATGCCATAGTGTACTTTTCCCTTCAGTAATAATAAAAACACATTATTTATTTGAAACATAGTCTGGGTAGCCCTTGCTGGCCTGGAACTTGATATATAGACCAGGCTAGCCTAAAACTCAGAGTCTACCTGCCTCTGCCTCTGGAAGGCTGTGATTAAAGGCATGTACCACCACACTGAGCCTTTTTACTTTTTTAAAAACACTGCTGGGGATCGAACCCTGGGCTCTTGAATTCTAGGCAAGGACTCCGCCAACTAAGGTACATCTCCAGTTCCCATCAGACATTTTTGCAGCCCTTAGTAATGAAAAGTTGGTGTTTTCTGAAGGGTTATTGGTCATCCTAAAAGCCTCAGGTGAGCAGAGAAACGTGAAACATGAAAGTTGGGTGCTGATAACATTTGCAGGTAGTTAGGAGCTGGGGTAACTCCTTTCTGATACGATAACATACAACCTCCCTCTGTATTTACAACCTTGAGACTGCCAGGAAACAGATCTGCTGATGGGATCCTCCACCCCAAAATTCCCTTTGATTCTCTATGAAACCCCAGTCCCCCGACTGCTGCCCTTCATTATTCTGAATAAAGGACTATCCGCTTCTGTGGAGGTTGGTCTCTTTATTTTCACATCTGCCCCAGCAATCCCAATCCAAGCTCTTCAGCTAGTTTGAAATAGGGCAACCTCGGAGTTCCTGAAAGAACACAGGTGTTCTATTGATATCATCATGACCTTTGTGTCACGTGCCATGTACAACAAAGGTAATAAGACCACATTCCTTAGTGATCTGGAAACAAGCCCCTGGCCCAGATGTCCTGGTAGCTCATGAATGGAATTCTAGTACTCAGGAGGATGCCAGTGCTAAGCTATATAGACCCAGTCCTCTTACAAAAAAGGGAGAGACAAAGGACCAGGGAACTGGGGTGTAGCCCCATTGGCAGAGTGCTTGGCTGCCACGCACAAGGCTCCAGGTAACATCTCCAACACAGCATAAACCCAGGCACAACTTTCCTTAAAAAAAAAAAATTTTTTTTTTTTTTTTTTGCATTGCTATAATCCCAGCACTCAAGAGGGAGAAGGATCAGGAGTTCAAATTCATCCTTGGCTACTGAAATTCCTCGAGGCCAGCCTGGGCTACATGATACCGGGTGTCAATTACACACACACACACACACCACCACCAACAACAACAACAAACAACAACGAACAGCTAGAGAGTTTACTTACGTTTCCCCTTAGCTGCCCCAATCAGCTTGAGATCCTGCACTTAAGGATCTAGGACCTAGAGGAAGCTTACACGGATTTACCCCTGGTCTTTCCCCTCTGTCCCTGAGTGAGGGGGCGGGACTGCAGTAACTGTCCAATGAGACGCGCCGCTGGGAGGGGCGGTGCGCCACCTCGCAAAGTCACCGAAGGGACAGGGCTCTCATTCGGGATGGTTTGTCCCAGCGACTGCCAGCTCGGCCCTCTTCCTCCATCCGTGTCCTGCTGTGCCCCGAAGAGAACCGGGAACCGGACGCGGACGTCACTAGGACCTCCTGGGCAACGAGATGGTGAGTGCAGCCGGAGATGGAAACAACGGCTGCGTGACGCAGCCTTGCGTCACTCGGGAGTCTGCGCCGAGTTTGTCACCCCCCCACCTCCCCCCGCCCCACCTCCGGTGGCTTCTGCTCAGTGCGGCTCCGCCCTGCCCGGCTGCCCTCCCTCCGTCTGGCTTCAGCTCTGCTCGGCGCGGCTGGGTCGTGGGGTGGGCGGGGCGGCAACAAGACCCTGACTGTACAGAGTGCCGGGGGGTTGGGTGGGGGTGGGGGGGGGCTGCTGCCTGAGGGTCCCCAGCCCATCCCTGCTCCCTAAGTGGGAGCCGGTTTCCCCCAGTGTTGTACAGATTTACGGGCGGTCTCAAATTAGAGACCCTATTCCAGCCTAGCTTTTCAAACTCTGCTGCCAACGAAGACCTTCGTTTCCGGTTCCCCTTTCCACATCTCCAGTAGCAGCTCCCCTCTGCTTGTCCTTTTTCTTTGTCGTTTTCTCTCTTCTGCCTCCCTCCCCCCACTTACTCTTTCCCCGCTGGGGTGCAGTGCAGTGCACTGGAAGCAGAAGCGCAGAGAGGGATACTGGGCCTGGTGTGGGTGTTTTTTGTTTGTTTGTTTTGATTTTTGAGACAGGGTTTCTCTGTGTAGTCCTGGCAGTCCTGGAACTCTGTAGACCAGGCTGGACTCGAACTCACAGAGATCCGCCTGCCTCTGCCTTCCAAGTGCTGGGATTAAAGGTGTGCACCACCACTGCTACTGGTGTGGGCTTTTTGAAACCTCAGAGCCCGCCCCCCAGTGACACTCTGTCTCCAGGAAGGCCACACCTCCTAATCCTTTTCAAATGGTGCTGCTCCCTGAGGGCTAAGCATTCAAATATATGAGCTATGGGAGCCTTTCTTATTTTATTCTGTGTGCACATTGTTTATGTGAGGGTGTTGGATCCCCTGGACCTGGAGTTACAGACAATTGTGAGCTGCCATGTGGGTGCTGGGAATTGAACCCAGGTCCTCTGGAAGAGCAGCCAGTGCTCTTAACCACTGAGCCATCTCTCCAGTCATAGGGGCCATTGTTATTCAAACCACCATAGTAACTCAGTCTGGCCTTCATCTCACTATTTCCAGCAGGCTGTCCTTCAACTCAGAGTAGTCCCCCTACTTGACTACCCTAGGCGTTTTTAAAAAGGTATTTAATTTATTACGTTTTCCTCTTACCCCTGTGTGTGGGTAGGTCAGAGCACTTGTGGGAGTGGATTCTCTCCTGTCGTGTGGGTCCAGGGGATTGAACTCAGGCTGTCAGACTTGGCAGTCAGTGCCTTTTTGCTGAGCCATCTCACTGGCTCACAAAACACACACACACACACACACACACACACACACACACAGATTCATTAAGAAAAAATGACAGTTTCTGAGAGTGGGAAGGGGTCCAAGGGAAGCACACCCTGCTCACCCACTTTTGCATGTGTGTGGAATATGCATGTATGCTCATATGTGCAGATATGCACACGCATGGAGTGGGGTCAGGGTTAGAGACTGACATTGGTTGTTCTCCGTCACTCTACCTTATTTTTAAGACAGGGTTCCTCACTGAACCTGGGTTTACCGTTTTGGCTAGACTGGCTAGCCGGCCAGCAAGTCCTCGGGGTCCTCCTGTCTTCACGCCGCTTTGATGCTGGAGTTATAAGCTTGTTCTGCCATGCCTGGCTTTTTATGTGGGTGCTGGGGATATGAACTTAGGACCTCATGCTTCTGCACAAGCCCTATAGCTACCGAGCCATCTCTTTAGCCCCAAGTGTAGCTTAAATCCGCCTTCAGGATCCTCCTGCCTCTGTAGCTTCAGCATTTCCTGTGCGCACGCACCACCACAAGATTTTTATTTTGAGACATATTTTTTCTCTGTATCCCAGTTGGCCTTAAACTCAATACAATCCTGTTTTAACCTTCTGAGTGTTAGGATTACAGGTGTGTCCTACCGTGCCTGCCCCCTCTCCACACACTAAGAATTTTATAATTGTGAGTCCACTTACCATCACATCTTGATTCCTATTCAGCTATGTCGGAAATGGTATCTGTTGTGCTAGCAAGGTACTTGCCACCAAACCTAATAACCCGAGTTGAGCCCTGTATTGGTTTGAATGAGAATGGCCCCCATAGGCACAAATGCTTGAATATTTGGTCTCCAGTTGGTGAAACTGTTTGGGAAGGATTAGGAGGTGTGGCCCTGTTGGAAGAGGTGTGTCACTGGAGGGGGGCTGAGCCATTTCCAGTGTCTTTCTTTCTGAATCATCTGCTGCCCCAGCCCTGTGCCTGCCTATTCCCATGCTCCCCAACACGGTGGTTATGAGCTTGCCCTCTGAAACTGTAAGCCCCAATAAACTCCTTCAATAAGTTGCCCTAGTTATGGTGTCTTACCCCAGCAATAAAAAAGTAACTGAGATAATACCCAAAGCCCACGTGGTGGAAGGAGAGAACTTACTCCCACAAGCTTGTCCTCTGACCTCCACACCCACTATGGCATGTATACCCCCAATAAATAGATGCAATTTTAAAGACTGAGAGAAATGTAGCTGTTAATTATTTCTCAGTGTGAGCCAAACCCAATGCAGTTTGGGCTCTGCTGAAGGAGCTTTTGTCTCATGCTGAAATGGGAGTGGATGGAGCGGAGGCTGTTCTCAGGCTCAGCACCATGAAGATTCTGAAGGGTCAGGGTACTCATGCCTCTCCCTTCTGCCATCTTTTCTCTGCCTTCCTGCTGATTTTCTTGCACAATTATATGTTTGAAAGTTTATATTTATGCGTGTGAGTGTTTTGCCAGTGTGTGTGTCTGCATCATGCTTTGCCCTGATAGGCCAGAAGAGGGCACCAGAACTGCTGGAACTGGAGTTACACGCAGTTGTGAGCTAGGAATTGAACCCGGGTCTTCGGCAAGAGCAGCCAGTGCTCTTAACTGCTGAGTCATCTCTCCAGCCCACCTTCTACAATTTTAAAGTGGGGCAGAAAGAAAAAGAAAAATTAGACCTGTGTATTGGTTTTAATATTAAGGCAACTCCACGTAGTTAAAATGGAGGTTATTTTGTGGGGTAACTTACAAGTGAAGGGATAGGTTACAGGGTCTGGGAAAGGTGTAGCGCAGTCCAGCGGTGTTCTCTGGAGAACTCTGCTCAGTCTCCCTCCAGCGTCCAGGGTCCAGAAACCAAGAGAGCCAGCCCATCCGGATCTCGGGTCTTCAGGGTCCTCTCTTGGCCCCGCCTTGTAGGTGTGACAGTTACCGAAGCCTCAGTGGGGGTGGCACTTCCAGGTCAAAGCTGGCCCGGCTACCCACTACACCTGTGATAAATCTATCAATGAGTCGGACATGGTGGCACCAGCTGCAATCCCAGCATCTGAGAGGACTGGCAGGAAGATCATGAGTCAGAGGATGGCCTGGCGCAGCAGAGCTGGACACTGTCTACAGCCAACAAAGCAGCTGCAGAGAGGCTTAGTGGGTGAGCTGATAGCTGTGGAAGCGTGACGACCTGGGTTCAGGTCCCTAGCATCTGTGTGAAGCCTAGCATGGCCTTATGCCTGTGATCCCGGTGCTGTGGGTGGAGACGTGGTCTGCTGAAAAACGGCAGCTTCAGGTTCAGTGAGAGGCCCTGGTCCCACTCATCCAGGAGGGCCATAGTGCTCACACGGGACAGGAAGTACATGGTTACAGCTGAAAGCAACGTGAGGCAGCCTTCAGTAACTCCTCTTCCCATTGTCGTGGTAATAACCCAGAGAGTAGTAGAGCACAGCTCCTGACCTTCTCCACATGTGCATGCATGTGCACACACAATATAAATAAAACAAGCCAACAGTTAAAACGTACAGGTCAGTTCCATGTGTTTTGGTGCCAGTAATTTATGAGAGAGTGAATGTGGACTAAGGTTAGAATTCTGGTAACCGTATTCATTTACCATAAACTAAAAGTGTAGAGACCACAGAATTGTATGTGAATGTCTTTTTAAAGGAAGGTTTATTTTTATTTATGTGGATGTCTGTGTTAGAATATGCTATGTGTGCTGCCCCTGCCCTCAGCAAGGAGGCCACAAGAAGATGTTACATCTCCTGGAGCTGGTGTTGTGAGCAGCCTAGCGTGGGTGCTGGGAATTGAACTCAGGTCCTCTGAAGAGCAGCAAGTGTTCTTAACTGCTGAGCCACCTCTCCAGCCTCGTGTGCATGTCTTATGGATTGAATACAGGTTCCCTGTGCTACATGTGTATCTCTCTTCCTCTTATAAACACATTTGGGATATTTCAGGACTTGGTGACCTTTGAGGATGTGACTGTGAACTTCACCCAGGATGAATGGGCTCTGCTGGATTCTTCCCAGAAGAACCTGTACAGAGAGGTTGTCGGGGAAATCTTTATGAGCTTGGCTTCTATGGGTAAGGATGACAGCTTCTTACTTTCCCAGTTAGACAGCATGCTTTTCCTATCAGTGCTGGCCCATGATTGGAAATGTGAAAAGGAATGCTCTGATAAATAACCATAGCATCATTTCATCAGTTCGTGGTCCTAGAGTCTTATACATTGTCTCTAATAACTTAGTTTTCTCCCCCCTATGTTGTAGGAGAAAGATGGGACCAGAATATTGAAGACTGGTACAGAAAACAGGGGAGAATCTTAAGGTAATTCTCACTGAAAACAGAAAGGAATGTCCTAGAAAGTTGAGGAGCTGGGTCGGTAGTGAAAAGTTTCCATACCGCGATATAGTAAGCCTCTCCACTGACGCGGTAAGTCAGATCAGGCCAGTTAATAAGTCCAGCTTTAATCTGAGCAGAGCATTCTTGGGTAGTCCCAGGGGAAGAGGAGAAGCCATGAAGGAAAGCCATGAGGGGAAGTCTGTGGGCCAGACCTTAAGTACCCTCTGGGGGTGGAGCCACCGCTTGACAGGGGTGGGGTCTGGGGAGATAGAGGTGGGGTTTCCACCTAATCATCCCAGACTCCTTGGGTACATGGCGCTGGTAAGACTTCCACCTAAACAGGTAATTCAGGTGGTAAAATGCCTTCCGTGCAAGCGTGAGGACCTGTGTTTGATCCCTAGAATCTATGTAAAAAGCCAGGTGGGTGTGGGGACATATGCTTGTAATCCCAGCTTTGGGGAGGTAGAGATAGGTAGATCTCTGGGGCTTACCGGCCAGCTAGCCTAATTACACTGGCTAGTTATTTGTAAAAGTGGAAGACCGTATCTCAGAAAATAAGGTAGCAAAGAAGACACCTGAGATTGACCTCTGACCTCCACATGTACACTTGTATACACAGACACACATAGACAGAACTTTAGTTTGTCATGAAGTTTTAAAAATAAGCCCATCCATCTGCATGTTTGTTTATTTATTTTTACATTTTATTTATTTGTGTGTGCACATGCACCTACAAAGGCCAGAGGTACCGGATTCCTCTGGAGCTGGAGTTAAGTTCCAGGGGTCCAATGTCCTCTTCTGGCACACAATAGTGTACAGACATATATGCAGATAGGTAAAACACCTATAAACATAAGATAAAATACAAACAAAAGCATTAAAAAATGAACAGTTCACATCCTTAATGGCTGAGATATCTCTTCAGCCCCCTGGTAAAAATATGAATTTGAAGCGTATCAGTAAGTATGAAATTGTGAGTAAAGCATTTGTAATGTGTTCTGATTTTTTTTCTTAACAGCAACCATATTATAGGGAGACTTGGTGACAGCAAACGAGGCAGCCGTGGTGGCGAAACCTTCAGTCAAATTCTTGACCATGATCTGAAAAGGAAAAGCTCTACTAGAGTTAAACTCTGCGAATGTGGTGTGTGTGGAGTAGTCTTCGTGCCTGGCTCACCCAGGAGTGCCCTCAGTGCTCACACTAGACAGGGAGCACATGATTACAAGTGTAAGCAACGTGAGGCAGCCTTCCGAAGTAATTGCTCTTTGCAGATCAATGACAGGTCTCACGCTGCAGACAACCCTTCTGAGCGTCGGGAACACGAGGCAGCCTTCCTTTCTTTGACCAGCCTTGGGGAACTCGTTATAACTCACACTGAAGGTGGACCCCATAAATGTAACGTGTGTGGAAAAGGTTTGCACTATCCCAGCTCACTCAGAATTCATGAAAGAATTCACACAGGAGAGAAGCCTTACCAGTGCGAGCAGTGTGGAAAAGCCTTCAGCTGTTGGGGCTCAGTTCGAAGACATCAAAGGACTCACACGGGGGAGAAACCCTACAACTGTAAGGAGTGTGGGAAGGCCTTCAGCTCTCTTTCAGGCCTTAAAGGACACGTGATAAGGCACACTGGAGGGGGCCCTTATAAATGCAAGGAGTGTGGAAAAGTCTTTAATTCGCCTAGCGCACTTAGTAAACATGAAAGAACTCACACGGGAGAGAGACCTTTTTTGTGTAAATACTGTGGTAAGGCCTTCATTTGTTCAACTTCAGTTCGAAAACATGAGAGAACTCATACTGGAGAAAAACCCTATGAGTGTAAGCGATGTGGGAAGGCCTTCATTTCTAATTCAGGCCTTCAAGGACACATGATCAGGCACACTGGTGTTGGGCCTTATAAATGTAAATTCTGTGGGAAAGCCTTTGGCTCTCCCAGTGCGGTTCTAAGGCACGAGAGTGCTCACGTTGTGTAGGATTCATGTGACTAGAGCTGGGAAAGCCTTCACTTTTGGTCATTTGAGGACACGTAAGGTATCTGAGAAAATCTTTTACTATCCTAGTTCAGGTACAGAAAAGAATTACTGGAGAGAAACCCTGTTTAGAGAATATGGTAAAGCTGTAAACTGTTAGATTTTATCTAGAAGGCATGAAAAGGTTGGAGAAAAAGCTTGTAAATAAAAAAATAAAACGTGTGTGTGTGTGTGTGTGTGTGTGTGTGTGTGTGTGTGTGTGTGAGAGAGAGAGAGAGAGAGAGAGAGAGAGAGAGAGAAACAGTTATTTTGTTGAGGTGGGCCAGAAGATACATAGAAGATGGGTTCTTAAGTTAGCCATAATGGCACAGGCCTTTAATCCCAGTACTGGGAGGTGGGGCAGGAGAATCAGGAGCATGTGGTCATCCTCAGCTATGTAGCAAATTTGAGATCAGCTTGGGTTACATGATACCCTGTTTCAAAGGGGTGCCACAAGCCTTTAATCCCAATACTTAAGAGGTAGAGGCAGGTGCATCTTTGTGAGTTCGAGGCCAGCCTGGCCTACATAGTGAGTTCCAGGCCAGCCAAGTCTGTATAGTGAAACCCTGTCTCAAAGGGCTTGAGGGATGCTCAGTGGTTAAGAGTGCTTGCTGTCCTTCCAGAGAACCCAAGTTCTATTGTCAGCACCCACCTCGGACATCTTACAACTGTGCAAGTTCAGCTATGGGGAATCGCAGCTCTCTTCTGGCCTCTGCAGGCTCTGCATTCAATATACATACACATAATTTTAAAAAGATGGACGATTTCTCCAGTTAGCACCTGGGGGACAGATTACAGAGGTTTCCATCGAGAAGGCCCTGGGGTGGCATGTAAAAATGTTTGAGGGCACTATTCTAATAAGTACAAGGCCTATGGAAATGTACCTTTAAAAATGTATTGTGCAGTGGGCATGTGTGGAGGTCAGAGGGCAACTCTGTGGCATTAGTTTTCTCCTTCAACCTTTACATAGGTTCCAGGGGTGGAACTCGGTTATCAAGATTAGCAGCAAGAATCTTCACCTGCTGAGCATCTTGTCAGCCCAGCCATTTCTTTTTGTGTGTGTGTGACTATATCTTGCTATTAGGATGTCCTGGAACTCAGCAATCCTCCTGCCTCAGCCTTTGAAGTGCTTTGGGAGTAACATTTGAAAAAAAATTTTCATTGATGTGTGGGTGTGTGTTTGGGGGTCATGTGCTTGTGGAAATTGGAGATCAACTTTATGATAGAGTTTATTCTCTCCTTCCTTTACATGGGTTTTGGGATCAAACTCAGGTTACACTTGCCCAGCAAGTGCCTTTACCTGCTGAGCCATCTTGTCAGCCCTAATTGGTTGTTTTTAATATTTTTTTTGTTTTTGCCAGTGCAAGTATGGAGGGCAAACAACAACCTCTAGGTGTTGGCCTATCCCAAATTGTTTGAGTCAGGATCTCGTGTTTGCATATACTATGCTAGCTGGCCCAGGAGCTTCTGAGAATTCTGTTCTATACCTTCCATCTTGCTGTAGGAGCATGACAATTAAATCACTACTGTGGTGGTCTGAATGAGAATGGCCCTCATAGGGTCACATATTTGAATACTTGGTTCCCAATTGGTGGAACTGTTCGGGAAGGATTAGGAGGTGTGGTCTTGTTGGAGGAAGTGCATCACTAGGGATGGGCTTTGAGTCAAAAGACTCAAGCTATTCTGAGCCTCTCTGCTTCCAACTTTCAAATCAAGATATAAGTTCTCAGATGGACCTACCATTATGCTTTTGCTCCACCATCCTGGATTCATCATTTTCTAAAGCTGTAAGCCCCAAATTAAATGCTTTTCTTTAATAAGTTGCCTTGGTCATGGTGCTTTATCACTGAAAATGTAAAGTAACTAAAAATACAGGAAATGAAAAGATAAATGTCTTAACTAATGTTGCCTTAATATCAATTATGATTACTATCATTCTGGTATTTCATATTTTATTTTTTTATTTGAGACAGGGTTTCTCTGTGTAGTTAGTCCTGGCTGTCCTGGAACTCACTCTGTAGACCAGGCTGGCCTCGAACTCACAGAGATCCACCTGCCTCTGTACTGTACCCATTCTTAATATTATTATTTTTAATAACCATAGTGGCCCTCTGTCCCCTCTCAAAGAAAAAAGCTTTAGAAATACAAGAAAAAATATAAAAGATTGATTGATAAAAGACAAGCCTTAGGAGAAAAATTAGAAAGAAATGAATAAAAATGAGAAAGATACTAAGACGGAGACAGCAGGATTAAGATAAGAGCCTACTGTGCCACTGTATAATGAAATAAAAGGTCAGTCAAAAGTTGTTAGAAAACCAGCCTTAGCTTATCCAGTTACTATACAACAAATACCAGCAGATGATAGGTAACCCCAAGATATGAAGAATTTGGATGACATTCCATAGCAATGTGTAAGATGAATTGCTAAATGGTCTTATTAATTGAAAACCTGGAGCCAGATATTGGGATAAAAACTGAGACATCGGGGAAGCAGAAAGAAGCCAGCCATGTTCTTACTGCTAGAAATCCTTAGCCAAAAAGAGACCTACTTCCTGTATATCCATGCCTATATGCTTTTCTGTTTCTGCCCTCTTACTTCCTCTCTCTACCCAGCTACATCACTTCCTGTCTGTCTGTACAGATCTCCAGACCTCTATGGTTAGTGCTGGTATTAAAGGCATGTGCCACCATGCCTGGCTCCGTTCCTGGTGTGGCCTTGAACTCACAGAGATCCGGATGGATCTCTGCCTCCCAAATGCGAGGATTAAAGGCATGTGCTACCATTGCCTGACGTCTATGTTTAATACAGTGGCTGGCCTTTTCCTCTGATCTACAGATAAGCTTTATTGGGGTGCACAAATAAAATTTCACATTTCTCCTTTTTTTTCTAAAACAAAAAAGATATAACTAATATAAGAAAAACTATATACAATAAGTACAATAACTACATACAATATATGCAGGCAATAAATACAATGTCTAGTCCATTTGCATTTGACAAAATCAGCAAAAATATTCCATTATCTATCCTATTTTGATGAGTCCAAAATGTACCTAATTCACTTTCTATCCTAACTTGTATTACCAATCAAAAACTATCTTTTGATGTCTTTCAGACTTACTCACTTTACACCTCTTAGTGAGTTTCTTTTCTGAATTTCTTAACAAGAAAAACTGGGCTGGAGAGATGGCTCAGAAGTTAAGAGCACTGACTGCTCTTCCAGAGGACCTGAGTTCAATTCTCAGCAACCACTTGGTGGCTCACAACCATCGTAATGAGATCTGGTGCCCTCTTCTGGCCTACATAATAAAAAAATACAATCTTTGGGTGGTGGTGGCACACGCCTTTAATCCCAGCACTCAGGAGGCAGAGGCAGGTGAATCTTTGTGAGTTTGAGTCCAGCCTGGTCTACAAGCGAGTTCTAGGACAGGCTCCAAAAGCTGCACAGAGAAACCCTGTCTAAAAAAAAAAAAAAAAAAAAAAAACAGAAAAAAAAAAACACCAATGAACCTAAAATAAAAATATTTTTTATTTTAGCATAGCATATTTTTACCTAGCATATCTGACAGACTGTGAAGCAGGATTTTCTAAAGAGCTTTCCAACCTTGCCTTTTGGATAGCATACTGTCAGCAGTTGATGTGAGGGCACTTTCTTGCCCAGTGGCTAACTTTGCCACAATGAAAGTAAATTCCATATGGTGTTTCTTCAATGCCCATCATCTTCTCTGACATGGCTCAATTTCATAAAAAAAAATTTTAAAAAAATCTATGTTATTAAAACATCTTAAATGCCATATTCTGTAGATCTCTGAAGTGTTTGAAGATGACCAGTCTATCAAAAATATATCTCAGGCCGGGCGGTGGCGGCACATGCTTTTAATCCCAGCACTTGGGAGGCAGAGGCAGGTGGATCTCTGTGAGTTCGAGGCCAGCCTGGACTATAGATGGAGTTTCAGGAAAGGCGCAAAACTACACAGAGAAACCCTGTCTCAAAAAAGAAAGAAAGAAAGAAAGAAAGAAAGAAAGAAAGAAAGAAAGAAAGAAAGAAAGAAAGAAAGAAAGAAAGAAAATATATCTCTGCTTGACCTTGAAAACATACCTAATAAGACTACAAGTTTGATTGTAATGACTACTAACTTATATTTCTTTATATCCTAATTAGTTGGTAATAATAACTTTCAAGGATTAGCAATTTGCATTACATTGTTAAATTAACTATATAGGTACAATACCTTGAACAAGATTAGAAATAGATGTACAGTATTTTCTAACAAAATCAATCTCAAATTTGTATCAGTATACATAATTTATATAGAATATACAAAAATCCAATCCAATGTAAAATATTTAAAACTAGTAGTTGCTTTTTAAAAGTAGATTCAGTAGTCTACCTTTTTATCTTAGCAATGCTAGATTTAAAAAAAAAATCTGGAGAAGCTGTAATTTCATATGGTATGCATTTACCATTTGTGAAGCAGATACTAAGTTCTTGGGTGATTTAAAATAGAGTAATCTCCCAAGATTGGAAAGATATGACAAAAGCAGTCCTAGAAGCTGGTCCTCAGTTACAGAGGTGGTCATGGTGGAAGGAAGAAGCTAAGGAGACAGAGCAGAGAAAGAGGGCTAGAGGAATCAATAGTTCCCAGTGTCAGGTTCTAGGCGAAGGTCAATATGCTGAGATACAAATGCAGGCTGGATATGATGCTGCCACCTTGGCACTTGGTACAACAGCTTTTTTTTTTTTTTCGAGACAGGGTTTCTCTGTGTAGCTTTGTGCCTTTCCTGGAACTCACTTGGTAGCCCAGGCTGGCCTCAAACTCACAGAGATCCGCCTGCCTCTGCCTCCCGAGTGCTGGGATTAAAGGCGTGCGCCACCACCGCCCGGCGACTATACAACAGCTTTAAATGCTTGGGGACAGGAAAAAGGTCTGTACCACTTACTAAAATTATACAAGGTCCAAAGGAAGCATTCACTGATTTTTTTTTTTTTACAAAGATTGACTTTAGTTGTAAATAGAAGAGAATTAGATTCAGATATTAATTGAATCTTTGGGTTTTGAAAATGCTAATTCTGAATGCAAAAGGTGATCAGGCCTCTAAAGGCAGGAGCAGCACTAATAGAAGATGTATGATATAACTTTAAGAGGAGAAGTAATCTCTAAAGGTTTAAAGAAAAGCCAAGCTGTCATATGTCTTGGCTGTGGCAAGCAAGATCACTTCAAAAGGGATTATAGGCAAGGCATTCCTAGAAACTATGTGTTTTCTAGGGATAATCCAAAAAGAAGGCCCTAATTCTGGAGTATGCATTGAACTAATGATGCAGATCAACAAGAGACAAACAAGGTATCTCCTTGTTGGGAAACACCCTAAAGGGCCTCTTTCAGGCCACAATATCAAATTCAAGTTGGTCATTTCAGGTCAACATCTGTAATTACACATTTATTAGAAGTTATGTCTATATTAAGAATACCTTTACAAATTAAGACTGACAATGCTCCAGCATATGTCTCTAGTAAAATGAAACAGTTTTTTTTTACATATTATAACATAAAGCATATTACAGGCATACCACACAATTCTGCAGGATAAGCAGTTGTAGAAAGATTCAATCATGCTTTAAAAGAGATGCTTAATAAATAGAAAGGGGTAACAAAGACCCCCAGAGATAGATTACATAATGCTTTATTAACTTTAAATTTTTTAAGTGCTAATGAGTAAAAAACAGCTGCTGAGAGACATTGGATAGTGGAAAAAAAACTTCTGAATCAAACCAGTCTATATATTTTAAGGATGTCTTAATTTCAGAATGGAAGTCAGGAAATGTGTTGCATTTGTTTCCATGGGAAATGAAAAGCTATGGATTCCTTCAAAAATTAATAAAGATCAGATTTGACTGGAGGAGACATCCTGAAAATCTTGGCTGCAGACATGAAGAAACAAACCAACAAAAACTACAAGACAGGTAATGTATACATGGATCCCTTTTCACGGGAACAGCTCTGAGACTGTTGGGTACATAGTCTTCATGACTTATTATTACATGCCATTCTTTCATATGGCATGGATACTTATATTACAGTTTGGTCATGCAGTCCAAACAGATTTATAAAGTTGACAGATGTCTTTTACCTTCTCAAACATAGAGCAGAGAATCATCTTTAGCTGATTTGTGCATATGGCACATTCCATGCTTGTGTTAATGCAGATAGGTATGTTACCTTTAAAAGTTTGTGTGTTTTCAGAACAAAAGGACCAGACACCAATGAAAACAAGTAGCCCAGGTGATCCAGCCTCTTAGAATGCTTCTGTTGCCATTCCTCAAAAATCTATATCCAGAACAACTTCAAAGAGGCTATCTAAGATGGTCCAGCCTTACAGATTTCTCCAGCCAGGGCTTCAGTTAAGCCCTGCACTTTCCCATCACACAGACACTGGACAACAAATGATACAGCTATCTCTCCCAGGACTTGACCATTATCCTAATTTTCTCAGGGTTCCCTAAAGATGCTATTGCCCCAAGACAACAGGAAGTAATGTTAAGAACATGACACCCACATTCCTGAGATGTGGGTAGTTTTTGGTTGTTTGGTGGGTTATGGATGTTTGTAGTCATTTAGAGGGGTTGGTTGCAAGTTGTTATTGGTCATGGTCAGGGAGGAAACTAAGCAAAGGAGGTTACATTATGAGACCTCTTTCTTTCTCCCTTTCTTTCTCTCTCTCTTTCTTTCTTTTCTCTTTCTTTCTTTCTTTCTTTCTTTCTTTCTTTCTTTCTTTCTTTCTTTCTTTCTTTCTTTCTTTCTCTTTCTCTCTCTCCTCTTTCT